AGCGTTGCACATGGGCAATCCATTTTTGACGTGTTACTTCAATTTCAGTTTATGAGAAGAATTTCATTTCAATGCTTTTCTAAATAAGAAAGTTGGAACTGCGCATGCGCAAACCTAAATTTTAAAACTAATGTTAGATTTTCCTTTGTTCCAAGCGCCTAAGTATCAAATTTCACTTAAATGGTGCCATAGATAAAAAAGTTGGCACTGCGCATGCGCAAAAGAAAATTTTGAGACTGGCGCTCGATGATCCTTTATTCCAAGTGCCTATGTATCACATTTCATTTAAATTCTTCCATAAATAAAAAAGTTGGCACTGCGCATGCGCAAAGCCAAATTTTGAAACTGGCGTTTGATTTTCCTTTATCCCAAGTGCCTATGTATCAAATTTCGTTTAAATTCTTCCATAAATAAAAAAGTTGGCACTGCGCATGCGCAAAACCAAATTTTGAAACTGGCGTTTGATTTTCCTTTATTCCAAGTGCCTATGTATCAAATTTCATTGAAATACTTTTATAAGTAAAAAAGTTTGCAATTCGGTTTATAAATGGTCGAGATGCGAAAAGGGCACTGTGAATTTTGAATCGATTCGATTCAACTTTTGGTTTTGCGTATTATATGGCTAAAGCTATGCCCATATTGAATTTCATGCAATTCAGTTCATAACTAACGGAGATGTAAAAGCGATCGAACATTTCTAAACAAAGTTATCGTTCACACGGACAGATAGATGGACAGACAGACAAAGGAACAGACGGACAGACCAGCATGCAGACGACAGATAGCAATGCAAAATTATAAACGATCTCTAGGATCGTTAATAAACGGCAAATGTGTAAAATTATAGAACATGTAAAAAAACGGTTTTTTTTACGATAACTTTTTTTGTAAGCGGTACAGAAAAGATTCCTTCCGTGGTACAAGACTCGACACCATAACGAACCAAATAGCGAAAAAAGTAGAACAATAGCTCTTAAGATAAAGAACTAGTAGCGTCGCAAAACGAGCGGACGGACGGACAAAGTGGCCACAATAGCGCATTTTTTTTTATTTTTGTGGAAATGCGCTAAAAATGAAAAAAGAAACTTTGGAGCATTTTCCATGATTTATCGGTACTTGCCGAAAGGTAATATAACGGACTCTTTATGTGTACAAAGGAAAATAAAACAAGGAATAAATATTCTTATAAAAGAAACTCACCATTGCGCAGTCTACACATGGGCATACCTGATTATAATATGCGATATTTTTGCTTTTACTAGAAGAATTTTATGTTAACATTTCAAAAACATATTTCCATAAATAACAAAGTTAATATTACGCAGACTGCGCATGCGTATATCAATCGTCAAGATTTTTATTCCTTGAGGTCCCAAATCTATAAGCTACCGAATGCAAAAAGAACTAACTAAATATCTTGAAAACTGTAGGGGTAGGTAACGCCTCGGACGGACGGACGGAGAAAGTGTCCATAGTAGCGCTTTCCAACATGAGTTAGAAAATGCGCCGTGGATGCACAGTTTCTAAAAGAAACAGTTCGAACCCGCGGTTTTTTGACATAAATTTATTTGTCCTATGTCCACCATTGATTTTATCCTATTATTTTTATTTATTACTAAAATACTCAGTAGTCAGTACCTAAATACTTCTTGTTTCGAAAAAATTGTAGTAAAAAAAATAGAAGAATGCTCTGAAAAAAGCGGAATATCTCGAAAAAATCTGGAATATTTGGAAATAGGTACTCATTGGATAACAATAGGTAAGATTAAAAATTGATATATCAATATATCGATAACGATAATTATCGATAGATAGTACCATCTAATATTAATAATAGTATTATCTATATCATCTGATACTCAATAAATCTGGGTATTAGAGCTGTTACTTATTGTATTATTTTATTATATTTTTTATTATAAATTTCTAATATGTTGGTATACATATATAAGTTGGTCTGAAATTAGTTGCCATCGCTCTTGTTGTGTGACCGGCCAGCCACTCCACTCCAAGCAAATTAGAATAATTGCAAAAAAATGCCCCGAACAGGTTTCGACCTTGGAACAATGAATTTATTGGTCCCAGATTGTTTTTATAGGCGAAATTAAAGTAGCAGTACTGGACTCTATAAATGATTTTTTTGTTAAAGTATTTGTTTTTATTAAATATTATTTGGTTTTATCACATAAGTGACTTAATCCTGTACTGTCTTGTTTAAAGTGGATTAATAAAATATATTTCTCATTTTTTTTTATTTTATTTGTGGATCCATCATTATTTGGGATGTTATTATTCTAATTATCGTGCCTGTCTTTCCCAAAAAGTTGAATGAATTAATACTTGAAAGCGGTCCCATGAGGGCAATTTTTAACATCTCGAAAAATCAATTCAATAAAGAAATTAAAAGTCAGTGTTGATATTTTTGAGAGTACCTACGTTGCCATTTTTATTGGAGGAGGGAAGTTCGATTTTATACGTGTGTAGCTCTTGCTCCCTTAAACCCAGTATAAACATACGACAAATGGTTTGTCGAGTTCAAGCTCGCTTAGGTCAATTCTATTACGCCAACAGGATCGTGCGGTATAAGGTTGTATCAGTATACTATAACGTAAATTTAATTAAGTACGTCTATTTATTACAATTAATTAATAATGAATGTATAGCAATCCTTAAATGGATTCATTTATGACATGTAAATTTATCACATACGATCGCGAAATTCACTAATAATCACTTCAGCATCGATGTTGAAACTAACTCTTAAAAACGATTCAATTTTCTTATATAACAAACGGAGAGTTTCTAGAAGAAATCACGGGCATTCTCAAACAGTCTAGACTGCGTGTCATATTTCAAGGAAATATGTCGCCTCCATTTTCATTCCTTATCACTGGTGATTAATCTTACCTATAGGACTTCTTGGAGCCTGCTGGCGCCCTAATGTGTGAGATTGATTGATTGATCGTTTTATACTTTAATCTACGTGCATTTCTCATTTTCCTTTTTTTGTTCAAAAAATGTATCGCCTTTTTTTGCCAATACTATCTCGAAAGTATAAGGGACTTTCGAAGTGAGAGAATCTCAGAATTAATTGTAAAATCTTGTGTATTTTTGATTCTTGACATCATGATAACCGCAAGAAACTTCGAAAAAGAAACCATAACATCCAATATACGTCAAGCCAAATTAGTCAACATTAAAAAAATATTTAAAAATGTCTAGAAATAGACTAATGGATGAGAGTCAAGTTGGTCAGCGAAATTTGATGAAAAGAATATCAAGTACACTGTACAGCGTGGTTCAAATTCGTAGCTCACCATTGGGATCTCCGTAGCTGTGAGAGATACAGTAAAGTTGTTCATTTTGTAACTAAAAAACGCTTTTGAAATTTCTCAAAATAATTGAAATACACGAGTATCACCGAAAAACCGAAAAATCAAATTTCGTTTTCATTTTAAACGGCTTAAACTGTTGGAAATGGACGAGTCCTGTTACCACCTTCTAAGAGCAGGCTAGACGTAAATACAAGCTACTACTTATATTATTTCTTATGGGCGCTACATTGATTTTTACGGAATGATAGAGGAACAAGAAATTCAATTGAATGCATCGCCATCACAGTCACGTTGATTCAGCAAGATCTAGTTACCCGTGGATGTTTGTTGAGAAATGAATGTGAAATTTTTGATTCTGACATTTTCCTAGTTTTTTTTGTAAATTTATCTAAAACTCTTTCCGTAAAAATCCAATATAAGAAATAAGAAAGTAGCTTCTAATTCTAGTGTTCTGTGAAAATCTGTGGCCTCCGAAAGTTGACTTGACCACAAAAAATATCGTGTACCGATTTGTGAAAATTTACAAAGTTACAAATCTATGCATTCCACATTCGACACTATCGGACAAATCCTCCGGGAAACTTCTCCGACTTCTTTTAAAGACAAAATCAACAAAAATTGATTATCATTTCAGGTACATCCATGTCATTTATTTTGAAAACGTTTCGGAAATGTTTTAGATGTTCCTTAATATTACTTTACGTTACGAAATGCTGTATAAAATTACAGGAATATTTTGAAAATGTTGATAGAAAGTGACAGAAATTTGGGAAATGTGTAGGTACGTAATTTAGGAAAATATTTGGAAATATCCGGCAATGATTTGGAAATTCCAATGTTAATAAATCTTGAAAGTTTTAGGAATCTAGAATGCTCTGAAAATGCAGGGCATGTTTCAGAATTGTGTGCCAAATTTTAAAAATTTCTCTCTAATATTCAGGAAGTTATGGAAATGTAGAAAGTGTTAAGCAATTTTGAAAGACTTCATAACTACAATTCAGTAAGGTAAATGTACTTACTACACCCAAATTTAGAAAAAAAGTATATTAATTTCTTTTTATCTATCACCGAAGGGCTATGAGTTCTTTTGGCCCGCGAATTGCTATTCAAGAATTGCCGTTCTGCACAAATGAAAACTCGCCTGCTAATTTCCGGGGGCTATAATAAACTAGTACCTAGACATAAATTTAAATTTGCCCCAAGCAACCACGGCATAGGTAATTACAAAAGGGTTAATTGCGCTTTAAAAGGTAAATAATACAATTAAAATATTTTTTTCTCAACGAGGAATAAAAACTAGACATCAAATGGAATAAACTGTCATATCCTCATTAATTCAAACCGCCTCTCACTCCTCTATGCATGCATAACTACCATAATATTCCTTAATTAAAACGCGTCAGCTCTCTGCTTTGAAAGCAATTGAGCCAAACATTAAACTTTATTTACCCAATCGAAATGTAATGCTTAATGAAAAAAGGGAGAAATAGTTCACTATAACAATCAATTTAGTATGACATGAGTTGATAGACCCGCTTCATTCTGATATTTGATCTATTAGAGTATAAACTTCAACAAGAATAATAAGGGATTAGAGTTACCGCATCAAAGAAATAGGAAACTACGGGCGTGATTTTTTCTCACGCTATGAAAAGTTCCACTTACCTGATGATGCCTCTGTATCAGAAATATCGCTGAGAGAAGGGACCTTCTGTACGGATTCGGAACTCGGAACCATCGCTTCCTCGCAGTCGTCGAGTGATTCCTGTTTCAGAATGACCATGGCTGATATTTCAGCTTCCTCGCACTGAAAACAAGAGTGGTTCGTTTAGAGGCAGATCGATGCATGAATATTGTAATACAAAATATTCCAGCAAAGGACACGATATATTGCCAAGAATGTCAACAGTACGAGGCTTTTCGATGAAGGCCGTGTCATAAACTAAATTTTAAAGAAAAATACGTATCCGATCAAAACGGGCTGCATTCAATTCCTAGTATAAATAATCAGAAATATTAACTTGGAGGCCGCTTATATGAAAAAAGTGACCTCTTGTAACTAATTCCCGAAATTACACCCAATTATGCATCGTAAAATTAATTCGCGTCATAAAATGATTAAAAATGATAGTTTAAACCTAATAAGAAAGTTTTTGGGGAGACACAATGCTTACGATTACTCATTCAATTTTGTCTTATTACTTTGAATGGTGGCCAAAAATAATTATAAATTTAGATAATGAGTTGGCACGGTTGAGCGTAATATGAAAATAACTAATATCGGTTATGGTGTTACGTTCCGTGGAATTATAAACTAAGAAACGGTATAAATCAAAGTTAAAAGGTTGTAATTGCAATATATTACACCTTTAGAGCTCAATAAAATTGCTTCAAGCTTTAACCATTATTATTCCTACGGTGGCATTTATTTGCGAGTATGATATTATATCATGAATCATGATTCAATTTTCATTGAGAGCTGCAATGGTAAAGTATCGATTCTCAAATTTTTATAAAGATATTAAGTTGTAAAACAACATCGTTAAAAATATAACATAAACAAGATCAAAGGGTGAGAAGCGTATTTTCAAAAACAAAATTACAATCCTACATACATAACGTGTTTTATAGCTCAAATTGTACTCTATTGCTTGATCTAGGGACCAGGCCTTGGGAGCAAATACTGGGAAATTAAATATCAATCGCACTTTTTAATTTTTAATAATAGGTTTTGTTTTTTAATCAAAAATGTTCGTAAGTGTCTATCATCTCTATCAGGGGCTCTCGACTAGTCCGTGTCCGGAAGTGTAAACTGGGTCAATGTGGCAGGTGACACTAGTACAGATGAACATTTTAACCACCTTCATCATATGAGATTCATTACTCTAGTGTTTCTTAAGACCTTTTTTCGTCTGGTAGCACACTAAAATTATTATACAGGACGTAGCCCCTCCGCTTGTAAATAAAAGCTCGTAATTCATGCATAAAAATTAATTTGAAATAAGTAAACGATAACAGAGGAGTGGCTCAGAGATGGACTGGGTCAAGCATAGAGTGACCCAGTGAGTTTACTGACCCAGTGACCCAGTTGACCCGGTGACCCAGCTTGATCCAGTTTGACCCGGCGACCCAGCTTGACCCGGTGACCCAGCTTGACCCAGTTTGACCCGGTGACCCAGTTTGACCCTGTGGCCCAGCTTGACCCGGTGACCCAGCTTGAGCCAGTGACCCATCTTGGGTGATCCAGTTGAATCCGTTGACCCAGTAATTAAATTATTGTTAGGTATCCGGAAAATCTTAAGGATAATTCTTATTCAAATTTATAGCATTAGGTTAGTATTGGTATTTGAATTTTGTCATCCAAAACAATTTCAAGAACTTTTAATTAAAAAAAAAACTTCCTCAATAATATTCGTAACCCAATTTCATTCAAGAGAACTAATACCTAAAAAATCAAACGCCTTTGTTTATAGTTTGTAGTCAAGTAGTCAATGAAAGTATTTAGAGAAAAGATTTATTTGGATTAAGCTAACTAGTAGAAGAAAATTAAATGTGAATGAACACCAGTAAGCAACTGGTAAGCCCTGAAGCAAAGAAATGAAGGAGAGAACTGTTTAGAAATAGCATTACTATAATACGATTCGGGACATGGAAATGTAATGTAAGACTGTTGATTTTTAAAAAGGCGTCGGTAAGTATTTTTGCTGTTCTGTTTTTAGATCGGTAAGTAATTTTGGCGTCGTCGTAATCATAGCAACTGGTAAATTCTACGTACTGTCATGGAAACACCCATGGTAAATAGTCAGAAATGACCGATCGCGCAAAAAGTTTTTTACGGCAGTATTAAAGCATACATCACAGAAATGGCAGTTGCCAAGCAATCGAGTATTATATTCAGCAAACCAGCATTAAGTTTCATTTATTTCATAATCGTACACTTGAACCGAAGTCACTGCGTTATTCGATCAAACTTGGTTACTGGGTCAAACTGGGTCACTGGGTCTAACTGAAGAGAGTATGACGTGAACCAACGACCCAGTTTAATCCAGTGACCCAGGTGATCCAGTTGACCTAGTCCAACTCTGGAGTGGCTACGTCCAAGTACGCCCCATCGATTATATCTATTTGCTAAGAGTGTCGCTCAAAAATCGAAATTACTTGTAAATGAAAGCTCTTAAATAGCTCGTAATTCCAGTACAAAATTTAATTTGAAAAAAGTAATTCTTCAGTGGGGGGGGGGGGGCTGAGTCCAAGTAGACTCGGCCACCCCATAAGAAATGTTCGATTCCTAGTGATTAAAGCGTGCTCTAAATTTTTAATCTTTCGATATGAAAAGCTCCTAAATAGCTCATAAATTGGATAACATTCTTAAATTGATTCACAATGGTGGGGGAGCTAGGTCCAGCGGGGTGATAATACGAGAGGTCCCATCGTATTGCCTAACGCATTCCACCATCCAATTTTCCAAATTGCTGCTGCCTTCTAAAGGAGAAATCCAACTGATAATTGGAGAAAATTTCAACGCATCGATAAAAAAGTTCCTTTGAATTTCACTAGATTATTCCCTATGAGTCTTAGATGTGTAACGATTCAATAAAACTTTTCTCTGCTGTCTAGGTCACAAGTTTTAGAGCGAAATGTACCCAACGTTTTGCTTTACACATGAAGTTGGAGTCCACCAGTCTCCAACGCCTTGAAAAAAGCTCGCATGAGCAAGTTACGCAGAGTTTGAACCTGCTGGCCGAACTGTCAATGGAAAATTTTACGAAGAAGTGCTCCGCCGCTTGAAAGATCGCGTCCGCCGAGGAGACATTGCCAACGATTGGATTGTCCATCATGACAATGCACCCAGTCACACGTTGTTAGACTGTACCTTTTGGTTCGTACATCAACATCGCAACCCTACTGCAGTCACCATATAGCTTTGACCTGGCTCTCAGTGACTTTTTTTGTTCCCCCGCATCGGGGGAGACCTGAAAAGATGTCTTTTCAATTCGATTCGAGTGGTTCAAGACGCTTCGACGAGGTGCCCCAACAGTGTTTCGATGGCAGCATTTCAGGGGGTCTATCAAAATTGGAAAAAAACACGTTGTATTACTTCCCAAGGGGCTTATTTTGAAAAATGTTGATTCATTGTACAAAAATATGAATAATTTTTTTTATTTTAAGACTAATTCCGATATTTATACCTATAATATATATAATATCTTCAGGGGTGGATTTACAGAAAATAGCTAAGATATAATGAAAACGGATTTCGGACATGGGACCAGATTGAGTTTCACTACAGGAGTACCCTCCGTCCTCCATTTTTTAGTTACAACTAAACACATGAGAATGCCTATGTTCTGAACGGTTCTGAATGAAAAAATTAAACCCATGACGCACACATTGATGCATATACGAGTGTTTTGCGCTAGGCTCTAACAAAATTGCACCACAAATGCATTGTTTATTACTCAAACGTCCAATTATCGGAAGCCTAAACGTAGATGATACTGATGGTGGGTTAATTCTACTATGCAAGAGGAAGAAAGCGTCTTCGGCCCACCGCCTACAGGCCTACACAACGATTCTGGTTCCAGTGTTTCTTAGCGTTTAACGCCCTTTAAATCATTTCCAATTTTATTGCGCTATCGCATAAAGTAATAATTAAAAGAAACAACAACTTTACAACGTTACAGTTCTTTGCCTTACCTCTTAAATCAGAGTTACGTAAGAGGTCAGTCATACTCATTCATTCATGTCTGCAGACAAGGCCACCTTCACTATCAGACCTGCTCAACGCTCATTCACATATGGGGGCAGGAAAGTAACAAAGTTTACTAGAATTAATTTTAATTTACACTGCCAACTAGACAAGATTTAAGTGTACGTATGGTGGTGCCCTAATGAGTATGAATAATCCACAGACTCGTTAAATTAAACGAATTAGGCCATTCCTGCGAAAAAATCACCCACACGCCATGTATCACTCATTATGGTCCCTACTGCAACAATTCTTTAAAAAGCGAAATGTATAGATCGATTAAAATGGGGTTACGTAGGCCGGTTGTAATAGCGTATATTTATGTATTTCTTAGTCACACTGTGTATTTTATTCCTTTGGGTGTATGTCCCCTGTAATTTCCATTTACTCTTCAACAAATATAATCAAAATTCACTACTTCATGAAGAACCAGTAGCGTTGATGAAACTCATCAGGCCTCGGAAAGAAATATAAAAATCACCCAATTTTAGTGATAGTTCGAGATTTACTTTCCTTCACTTCCCTCCAAAATGTGAAGAGTACTTACCTCAAAAGTAGTTCCGTTCCATTTCCAACAATTGTATTAATTTATTATTATTGTATGCATAGGGTATGCTAAGTGTACGCTTCTTTTGCCATTGCAATTGTTTAATCCAAACCTTCAGAAAAAGTGTAGCGACAGAAATGGACATTCCTTATTGTTGCAATCACAAGTTGTGTTTGAAACGTTTGAGAATTGATAAAAATGTTGGTTGTCGCGTGAAATTCAAACTAATGGTGAGTTTAGTAATAAGATCATTATGTGAAATAGTGGTGTGGGCCGTAGAGACATAGACAAATTTCAAGCCAAATGCACAACACCAGCACGACGCATGGATGAGGTGCAACAAAGCCATAATTACTAATGTACGCAAAAATTAGTTTGATATACAAATAACCACATTATCAATTATGTAACAGTTCCATTAAAAGTGCCTGTTATTTTAATGCGCTCTCTTACATTCTGGGTCAAAACAAGTTAGGTCACTTGCCAAAAAAGGCACTCCGAGTCGTCTTCT